TCTTCTGGGGCAGTGGGGAGTGGGTTTAAAAGATCATCGGAAAAGAACATCAGAAATAAACAGGGTTATGTGCTGCACCCATCAGAGTGATTGACAGCATCCCTGGGAATTCAGAGTGCCGTGGAAACTGGAGTGTGGAAAGAGATAAGGAGCCTTTTGGAAAATAAATTGCGCAAGAACTGGAATTTTTCCCACTTAGTATACAGAGTGTGTTACAGGACTTTGTCTTTATAAAGCTGTATCTTGAAAGTTTTATTCCATGCATTTTTAATGAAGGAAACACTATATTTTGTTTGCATGTTGTGACACAGCAGAGTGATCCCTGGCATTGCAAAACACTACCTGTGTGATGTGGATATGCTGAATGAAAGCCTACACATTATTTCATCAGTTAGAATTTGGTATGAGGAAAATAAATGCATTTCTTGGGTGAATGCCTTGAAAACAGGCATACAAATAACTGTGGAGAAGCCATAAAGGTATTATGGATGCCATTTCCCGTGTGCTAAAAAACATCACATGTAAAATGTAACTGCCAGATCAGATGAATTGCTGTTTAGCTCTGCCTACAAATACTGACCTATTAATTGGATTTCTCATCAGGAAGTTGTTCCAGTCTTCTAATTCCCCTAGCTACAGCCCATTTGATGCAGCAGTTGCTATGGTAACAGCTGTTTCAGCATTTTAACCTATATAAATATTGCTGGATATAGTCTTCTTTGATAACACGGTTAACTTGTGTAACTGTTACTCCTCACAAGAAAATTACTGTCAATATTAATAATCAGATCAAACAAATTTGCAAGAATTTGCGTGCAAGCCGGGGAGAGGCTGGTTGTATAAAGCAAGGCTGACACCTGCCGGCTCTTTCACTCAGATGCAAATATGTTTTCATGTGGGACACATCTTGCTTTATTTCAAATTGTCTTTTTAATTTTCTTTGCATCAAGAGAGTTTTGATTTTGTAGTATCAGCCCATATTTCTTGTTTTGCCCTTTTTTTTTCTGCAGGCTTGTGTTGTGGTTTAAACCCAGTCAGGCAACTCGTTCACTCACTTCCCCCACTTCTTGCCCTTCCCCTACTCCCAGAGGGACGAAGAGGAGAATGGAAAAGAATGCAACTCCCCCGGATTGAGATAAGAACAGTTTAGTAACTAAGGTATAACACAAATCACTACTGCTACCACCAATGATAACAATGATAAAGGAAATAACAAGGGAAGAGAATACAACACCTCACCACCAGCCAACCGATAACTTGCCCCCCCAGCCCCACCAAGCTCTGACCGATACCTCCTTCAACCCCCTGCAGTCTCCCAGCCCTTCCGGCTAACACCCAGTTACATCCTGGGCATGACGTGCTGTGGTATGGAATACCTCTTTGGCTAGCTTGGGTCAGGTGTCCTTTCTCTGCTTCCTCCCGGCTTTCCCTCCTCCCTGGCAGAGCATGAGGCTCACAAAGTCCTTGGCCAAACCAAAACATCCTTGTTATCAGCTCTGTTCCCAAGCTGAAAGTCAAAACACTGCACTGCACCAGCTACCAAGAAGGAGAAAAATGACTGCTACTGCTGAACCCAGGACAGCTTGTGAACACTTCTATAGTGCTTATATGTCATATTACAAAATGTAAGCATATCCTCTGTAAAAACATGCACAGAATTGGGGCTTCCAATTCTGACTTCCCAGACTGCTCATTCATAAAGTTTGACATTTAGGACTAATTCAGTGGCATAAATTGGCTAGTTAGGCATTCTGATGATTCTGATTCAAGGGTGAATAAGGCTTTTTATATTCTTTTTAAAATACCGTTTGCAATTTTTTTGCAGCAGATAATGAATGAATATGTAGCAGTCTCTTCCAGGCAGAACTTAAGTCTTATTAAGCATCATGCATATGGCCAGCGCTTTAAAATGCCATAAATAAATCCAGCAGTAGGACATGCATAAATCCTGTGTGATGCCTATTCTTCTGACACTAGCAAGGGCACAGCAAAATGATGGGGGAACTGCAGGTGCACTGCAGTGCTGGTAATTCCTGAATGCGCTGTGCCTGTCAGCTCTCAAGGGCAGATGGAAAGTCCTAGTGTCATGGAAAGGATTTCTTCAATGACAAGTAGTTTGTACATCTCCTTTGTGGGGATATAGAATAAACTCCCTCTGTTTAGTTTGGTAGCTAATGTGAGAGAAAGAGAACAGAGCCTTAACTGCCCTCCCTTCTGCTCCACTTTCCTTTGAAAAGTGTTCTGCTGCTGGCATTATTAACTCTGAAACTCCCTATACAGCTGTGGACTGCAAGGACTGGCTCTCCTATGCAACCATGGAAGAGGCACAAAGGTTTCCTTGTGACCACTCATTTTTTTGTGTCCCCACAAAAGGCCAGTCACAATGTAGTATGCTGTTAATAGCTGAAGCACAAGATGTGGTAATGTAAATGAAGCCTGAGCAGCTGAAGCTAAGGTTTGGGGGAAACTGGGGCCTAAATGACTGTGCTTTATCTTCCTTATTGAGTCACTGCCACATGACTCCTTTAGCTTAATCCCTTCATAGGATTTTATGCAGAGGCGCTCTGTTCAGATGTTTCAACATGAATTCATTATATGCCATGTATGCTCAGATGTCCTTGTGTGTGAATATGACTTTGTTATTATTCTGTCCTCGAGTATATATTTCACCTGCCCATGTGAATAGTGAGGTACTTTGCCAAAGTGCTTCATTGCAGGGCTGTACTTCCCACTCCTTGAGCTAACATTATGCTCTTCTCATTAGCATGTATGTAACTGCACTTTTTGGTTTAATAAGGAGTTATTAAGAATCAGCGAAATAGCAGTTTGGAAGCAAAGAAACTGAGCATTATTGAAGTTGTGCATGGAGTAGAAATGCAAAGAGCTCTGGCTTTTCAAAGAGAGGAGAGGTGCAGTGGCGGGGGGAGGGCCTGAGAAGTGTGTGCATGCCGTGAATATCCCTTCTGTTTGTTAGCTCTGCAGCAGTGTCAAAGAAGCTCCTATCTGTGACAGGCAGACCTGACAGGCAGCATTATTTTTGCTGGTTTTATTCCTGCCTCATCTTCCATATGAAGTTCACAGATCCCAGTGTCAGGATAAAGTAGTACCAAGTAAGTGGTCTCAAGGGTCCTGCTCTTCTAGGGCTCGGGAGTCCAGGATGTGGGAACTACATGTAATTCACATTTTGTTGGCAGGGACTCTGAGATGAAAGTGAAATGTGAGATTTTTTTGTTAGAATGTGTGAAGATTTAAACCTATTTCTAGATACAAAATATGGGCCCCTCCATAGAATTCTTAATTTGTGTTCTTTTCTGCGACAGCTTGCCAAGGTGAGGGAACAGTAGTGGTTTAGGCTGATGCTATAGAGGCTGTGAAAAAAAGAAGGTAAGAATAAAGTCAGTTGTGTTGGTGCTGTGCAAAAATCCTGCTGAGTAAGTCTTCTACCATTGCTGAACAGTGCTGTTATAGGACACCTGACAGCCTCACCATGTTGGTTAGTATTTTCTGGCAAAGAATTTCTGTTCCTTACCTGATACATGCTGCTAGCCTGGATGTCTGTGACTCCTAAATTGGAGAGCTACTGTACAGATGTGTCTAGGGTGGTGAGAACCACAGTGAGTTATTATTGTTACTGGAGTGTGAGCATCTGGAGCTAACATGGTCTTATAGCACTGAAGTTGTAGTCCCCATTGCAAGGAATCATACGCAGCAAGGAGTCCCAGTTTTTGCAGTGTAAAGCAGGCTAGGAACTCAGGACAGAAATGTCAACCCAGAAGGAAGGTAGGCTAAAGTAGCTTCAAGATACTTTTGTGCTCCTTTAACCTTGAATTGCCTTGGGGTCTGGTGAAAGCTCTAGCATAATCTGTTTAGCTCAAACTGTGGTTCCTCTGCAGTGTCCTATGGGGATGTGAAATAGGATTACATGAAATAGATATGTCTTGGCTGAAATAGCCGTAATGCTCTTTCTCTTGTCCCTGCTCCAAACTGTAGCATGCTCCTTAAACAAAACCTTGAGAAAGGATGTTAGGAAAGGGACTTATCAAATCCACATTTCTGGGCATTCTTATTAGTGCTGGAGAGCAAATAATTAGGACAAATAATTCAAAACCACGACACCTGACTTTATATTAGGTCATTTTACTTTCTGGGAGTAGAAAGGACAGGGGGCCAGCAAATGACTCACTTTCATTACGGTGACTTCTGGTTCCGAGGACACCTCCCAGAAACGTCACTGTAGTGGCAATGTTAAGTCCAGACTTCTGGAACCTTTCTCTTAAGAGCTCTCTGCTCTTGACAGGGTGCTAACGCTTCCCTCTCCATGCTCCTTGTGCCAAGCCGAAGTTGCATCTCATCATTCTGGTAATTTCGATGCAGGTCATCTTGGCAGCTGCTGAGTTAAAGGAGTGATAAGAGAGTTACGTAGTCTTTTAGCTGCTTCCCACTGGGACAATTCTTGGTGTTTTTATCAAATGTCTGTTCCATAAGTTGGCTTACTTTAAGCAGCACAGCACAATACTAAAGGCCTTTAAAAGTTTTGTAAAATAGTACCTTTCAACACCTGGAGTTTGCTTGTGTAAAAACTAATTAAATGTCATTATACAGGTAGTAAGAAAATCAGGATTTGTCCTTGACCTGGTGACATGTCTGTTCCTCTTCACTTTTTAACAAGAATATGGCAACCGTGTTAAATGTTACACTTTCGCAGTTATTAAATATTTGTCAATACTCCAATTGTTATGCAAATCATATGTCCTACTCATGTATTCATGCAGCATTTAAAATTGCAATTGCTGGATTATAACAGCCTTTATTATCATAACTGAATTTTTTACCTTGATTTAACTCAAAAGCCTTAATGCTCCATTAATGTACGGTACACTGGACATAAGACAGATGATGAGATTTGAATGAGCTCATATCTCTGTCTTTTCATCTCTATGCATATGAGTGGGATAGAAATATGGTTTTGAGGGCAACAAAAGTTGGAGGGATAACGGAGAGTAAAACAGTATTCAGAACTACTGATTTAGATGTTGAGGAAGGAAAATATTTATAAATTCAAGTATCCATGAAATCCAGTGGTGTCGAAAAGACAATAAACACTGGCAGCAAAAGAGAAATAATTGTAATGCAACAATTTTGGAGTTGAGATTGTGATCTCACAGCAACTAATCTCGTTCATTTCCAGTTAAATCAGCAGAAATAATTTTCCTAAGTGATACTGCAGATAGGCCTTGGTTCTCCATCTATGAAGATGTCTTTATCCTCTCTGTCTCTCTGTCCTCTTTGTCTTCCCTGAGGATGGAGAAAATATTCAAGAGGTAGGTTAGTGTCTATGTGAACTAAGACCACTTTGGGTTTGGGTTTTTTATTATTATTATTTTTATTTTAATTTTTTTTTTTTTTAAGCCTGACAATTCCTGGGCAGAATGGGGGAATCTGTAAATACTGGTAAAACTATTTCTGCTCTGCAAATCAGAGATGACAAGTGCTGTCTCATCTCTCTGTGATGATTATGAGCTACACTAAAAATGATCAAACTGTAATTATATTACCTGTCTGAAAAATAATCTGAACTATCATAGAGGGAAACAAGATTATTTTGCATCTGTCCTTGCTAAGATTTTTTCACTAGCCTGTAGCAGTTTGGACGGCCAACTTTATCCGTGTTCTCTTCTCACATTCAATGTTTTAATTTTTGTACCTTTAACTCTTGGAATGAAATCGAGGGACCATCCAGCAGTTTGACTAAGTTGCCATCTCCAGTGAACAGTGACTAGACTGTTTAGTGACTAGATCACTTCTAATACAAGGTAGCAGTAAGAATACAGCAGTTAGAGGAAAAGGTTTTAAGACAAGTCACTTAGTCTCCCTGAAATCATGTTTCCTTTTACCGAAGGGAGGCAGACCTGCCTTCTTCAAGCCCGACCAGCAGACAATGTCCGATAAAGTTACCTACATATTTCTAGCCGTCTTTTCCAGGCAAAGAGATATTTATTAACTATTTATGTGTTCAGAATTGCTTTAACTCTTGAGTTCATGGAGGACAATGTGTGGGCTCACTGGCAGGATGAGATAGTCCTCCTAGGGCTAGGGAACCTTCCATCACTCAAGTGTTTACAAGTATGTGCCTTGTCTTCTCACTGACTGTCCGCCTTGCTCCTTGTCCAAATACCATATTGTTTCAACCCCACATAATCACAGTGGCCTGTGTTTAATGCCATATCTAATGTGTACAAATCAGGGCAGTATTAACAGATTATTGCAGTGCACTGTCAGTTTGGTCAATACAAGTCATTCAGATGAACCAGATTTTTCTAAAAGATCAAGCTTGCCCACTCTTAAAGTTGTCTGGTTTTTTTTTTCAAGACATACCCTAAGAGTCTATTTTAAGATTCAAGGAGTGAAGATGACTCCTCATTTAATTTGTCTTCTCCTGGTAAGCTGGTGCATAGTACACAGATGGCAGACCTATAAGTAATTGCTTCAGTGCTCTTGTTCTGACTTTTTTTTCAGGCTTTTTTCAGTGATATTAGGACAGTTCTTGGTTTCCACTTTATTCTTTTGGGGTTTTGTACTGGGCTCATGACCGAAACACCAGAGTTACATGCAGTAGAGCATGGAGCAGCACAAGGAACAGCTGGTGTATGTGTGTTCTCTTACCCTTTCCTTGGGGGGATGAATATTTGCAGCCAAATGTTTTCATTTGGAATTATATTTAAAGTTGTGCTAATAAGAGAGAAGTGAGGATAAAAGCGATGTGCTTGGTGTTCAGTGTATGAGCAGTGTGACTGGTTATGTCCTTATTTTCTTGCTTACCCCAAGCACTGAACAAGCCTCCAGGCATTACCTGTCTGCTTCACAGACAGGCTTTACTCTTTGCAGAGAATACGTTATGGATATTATGTCTTTGCTGCTCTAGGGGGAAAAAGCTGTTGTTTGGGTTTTTTTTTAATGGAATAAGCTGAAGGAAAGCTCCGCAAAAATAGAATTTCTCAGTCTCCAGACCCATAGGTAGCTATTTTTCCAAGGAAAGTGGATGTTCCTAAGTACTGAGAAGTTGTGCTGCTATTTCAGCGAAGCCAGTGACAATTAGGCTTATCTACAGTACAACCTCTGTGTATGAAACGAAAATTGCACAGGAAGCAACACTGAGAACTGTTCTCTTGGAAATGAACTTTGGAGCCATTACATATTGTCCATGGCATCCTTTTTGGAGCAGTAGAAATTAACCAGAAATGAGATTACTCTCATTTTATTCTCAGATACTTCTTTCTGTCAAAGGATATTTTCTAAGCTAAATCTTTTCTTTAATCAGGCAAAATTTGATTCCATTGTCCTTATGTTGTATTGCTATGGCAACACAACATGAAATGGTGCTTTGGGCTGACTGTCACCAGCTGCTTCCCCAACCATGTCCAGTAACTAGCCTCCACTATAGACTCTGCACTCCCTCGAGTGCAGGGTCCAGTGCCTCCTGTTGTCTCTAGCAATGCTATCTTAGCTCTGTGAAGGAGTCTGTGGTGAGTCAGAATACTACCATGGACATTTTGGCATGTTTATACTCCCACAAGTATTAGGGCAGAGCAGAGGACCTGTTAGTATACAGTAACAGGATGCAGCACAGAGCAGATGATCTCCAGGAGCTGTGGCACTCCTTGCACCATGAGGCCCCTGGCTCACAGGAGCAGAGGCATTACACTCACTAGCTCTAGTATGAGGAACAGCCCCACTACAGCAGCTGAGGCTTCACAGCTCAGCACTTACCTACAATTTTAGGCAAGGCATTGGAAAAAATCTGCAGACATGCTGCTGTCATTGCTGGTGATGTACAGTTTATGCCTACCTGGACTATAGTCATGCCTCTGTGTTGACTTAGCCCTCAAGACTTCAGGTTTCCCAATGTCCCCTCTTGCCAGAGGAGTCGGTGTGCCCTCAGTGTGGAGTCAGCTAAGCCTGGCCCAATTTTACTTAGTCCTTAATAAATATGCTAGTAAACTATGTTTCTATTCTAGAAGGGTAAAAATGAGTCTTTCTGGAGCAAAGCTTTATCTCTAGCAGGATAATTATAGTGAATTATCTGGGGGTGCCATTCCAAGGCAGCAGTTCCCAGGCACTTGATTTGAAGAATGTACCTCTGCAAATGTAAGAAGGATGATTTTTGGCAATCCACTATTGATTACAGAAAATTGTTAAATTCTAGTTTCACCCTAAAACATTTGTCTCTCTGCTGCCTTGTTTTGGAAGATGAAGCTTCACAGAAAAAGAACAGTAGGTCTCATTGATATTATCTCTATTTTACCTAACAGCTCATTTAACTCTGTCTTTGCCTGCCTCCCTCCCTTTCCCTTCCTTTCCTTGCTGCTGCTGGCAAGCTAATTAGGCTGCTCCCTCAAGAAAAATTAATCCAAGGCCATAATAGCCATATGAGGTGAAGCTAGGATAAAACTCTACACAGTATAACCTTATAAGTGCCCTCAGCTTTTCAGAATGTTTCCCTGCCTGCTTTCTTCTTATTGCTCACTTTGCAAGGAGGACTCTCTCATCCTGTGTTCTATGCAAGTATTGAGTAAATTAATTAAAAGAAATTATGATTTATGTTTCCTGAAATATGCTGGTTTATTTTGCTTTATCCCTTGTATTTATACATTTTAAGTGCCGAATCATCAGCTTTGTCCAAAAAGCTCTCGTATATTTTTGTATCTTCCCTTTTATAAATCCTTAACCTTCTGTTAGACTAATATTAAAATTCTTCAGACACAGAGTAGCAATGTTCATAATCTCCAGTTCATTATCTTAATTAGATCTGTCTTACATTATCCCCCAGTTTATTCTCATACTTTAAAGGTGATCAGCCTTAGAAGGGAATGTGAGCAGAATTTAGTGAATTCTATTGTGGCAGCATTTCCCTGATCTCACTTTGGATCTTTCAGGTGCAATAATGATAATGCTGCTGGTGTAGTTAATTAAAAATTGCATTTGAATGGTATGAATATTCATTTTGGGGAATGAACACAGGATTAACTCAAGGGGGTAAAATGTCTGCAGTGGCCCAAGGATGTGAAGTGAACCTGGATCCCCATTAAAACACAAATGAATCATTAAAAATGATGGAAATTTAAAGTCCTCCCACCCTGCAAACTATTAACAAAGTATTGCCTGGGTCAAGCCTATCTCCTAAGGTAGCAACAGACATTACTGTTCATCCTTCAGTAACAAATTATAAGACATATACTTGACATATGGCTCTGCCCAAGAGCTAATACCCAGGGCTAAATCTTCATTAAATAATTAAGAAGGGCTACTGGCTTTTTAAACTTCACAGGTTAAAGTGCTGTATCTGTAAAATTCAGGTTACTTTTAATAGCTTTCTGGGGAAGATCAAAATTACTTTCCCAGGAAGTGTTTGTGACATTCAGGATGCTGTTGGGGAGGATACAGACAAGAACTGCTGAGACCTTTGATAATGAAGCTCTCTATACCCAAATCATCTCTCTGGCAAAACTGAGGACTTTATATTCTGGTCAAGAATGTTGAAAATGTATCTTTTCTTTGTCTTGTTAATAGCACCACTGAAAATACCAAAGTGGTTTCCTTTTATTTCCTCAACATTTATTTGTTGTAATTTTTTTCTGAATAAGGGAAACATCAAATAATGAACAGATTTTCAAAGTTTATCTAGTACTGCAGGATGATTAAAAAAAATGGGACTACAAACTAGAGATAAAGCCACTTTGGTGTCAAAACATTATGTGAAGTTTAATGGGCATTTGCCAGGGCATATTTTGCTGGCCGTTAGCTAGTTACCAGGGGGATTCACAGGATGCACGTTCTAGAATAAAATGTTCTGTGCATAAACTGGGGTCAGTTAAAGTAACTTGCATGCTGCTTTTGACTGGGGCACTGGGGTCCAGGCTTACTGTGCATTCAGAAATAAAGGCACTGATATGTCTCTTCTCCTTCCTCACCCTGCATATGAGTTACTTCTAGTTTCAGGCCTGCTCTAGACATCTCCCTGGGAAGGCCCAAATTCACTCATTACTTATCCCACACAACACAGAATTTGTCCTTCCTTGTGCAAGAAACAGAAGCAGGGTGTCTTATTGATCCAAGCTGGATCACCAAATAATGCTAAGGAGGCTTTTCACAGTAAGAATCCCTTCCTCCTATTCTCCTAAGTGAGGATAGATAGAAGTAGAAGGATTCTGGTAACTCACATGTTTTCTCATACTTCTTATACTGAAGAGGAGATATTGTCAGCCTTTCTCTAGGGAGGATGTAGTAGGGACATAGATAGTCTGAGTTAGTGGGGATCTCCCAACTAAGTTGCTCCTATTTGATCAAGTGGGATAAGACAAGTGAGTCCTGTCCTTGGCCTTGCAGGTGTTTGTATTCAAGAGGGCATCTTTTTTCTAGTCCCATGTGGGTCCTTTGGAGTTGAGCTATAATTTGAAAATAGTATCATAGGAGTAAATACAGAAAAGATTAAGAAGTAACAAAAATCTATTATCAGTATTTAACCTGATATTTAATTGCTATTAGCAGCATTATTTTCTGTATATTAGATAAAAGAAATGTGATAAATAACTCAGGGTCACTGTGTCTAGGTACAGCATACATAAAGGCTACAAATCTTTGACTTATGGGGCACATTTAAGGCTCCTAACCACTGGTGAATAGCGTCATTGAAGATAATGTAGAGTATGTGTGCCTGGTAGGCCTGATACAGTGACTACAGTGGATCTGCCTCCTCTAGAGTTTTAATTAGTTGACTCTGAATTGTCTTTGACATCTTAGTTTCCTTATACAGAGAAAATATCTGGGTGTTAGAACACTCAGCCCTTTATGAAATCAGATTCTTCAACATCTAAATACTACCAGAGAGCTGCTTAAAAAAATTCTCTACCATAGCGCATTAGTGCAAATGTATGCCACGTGAAATCTCTGCTGAAGAGAGTAACATGAGGACTTAATTTGGCCTGTTAATTAGACTTGAGAAGGAGATTGTGGCCAGACAGCAGCTGTGGGAAGAAAGAATGGACAAACTCAGACTTTTTTTTCATCTGGTCATGCTTTTCATCCTTGTTTAACTGTCTGGCAATTATTGTGCATATATTTTATTGTTCTTTAAAATTTATCCTGCAAGTGAATGCAGATAATGAGGAACTGCTGTTTCTTTCCTCCCGTATGGTTTCACACCCCTGTGAAGACCAGGATTAAGGTGATAGGGTACCTGGCCTTGCATTCGTGCCAGATGTTTTCCTTGGGCTTTCTTTGGAGGAGTAATCACATCTATTTATTCATGGAATGTCATGGTGCTCAGTTCTGAGGAGGAGCATGCACTTGCCTTTTTACCATGCTTCTGTTTTGTGTAATTTTGTGGAGTCCAAGGGTCTATTATCTGATAGTTAGTCCCACTGATAGTGTGATTTAATAAGAGGAAAGAATGATATGGCTGCATCCTGCCCATTATGCCCTTAGGAAGAGACTTTTATTTGCTGTCAGATGTCACTGATGGAGCATTTGGCTTCCTTTCATCAAGTGACAATTGCAGTTTTAAGAGTACAGTATAGAGTGCCACTTTAAAGCCAAACATCTCAATTCACAAGTGAGGGAAGGATAAAGTTGTGCAGCTGGAGGATGCTATTTCTTCTCAGCAGCTGTCACTGAAAAGGCATGTGAATGCTCTAGATGTCAGGTGTCCTAAATGCTCCATCCAGAGTTTGTCACGTGCCTGGTAATGTCATGTGAAGTGTTGGAAAGAAGTTTCTGTACACATTAAAATTCTTCTCTAGGCAAGCTTGCCCTGGAATTTGCTGTACTGAAATTTTAGAAAATAAGGAATTAATGTGAGATCTGTAGCAAGCTGTCCATGTTTTTTTACCAGAGTCACAGAGCCTTTTTATGTCACTCAGATCAAAATGCTTGATTTCAGTAGGAAAAATGTCCATGACAAGTCCTCTGCCCTTGCCCCAACTCACCAGATCCAAAGATGTACCTGCAAGGTGACACATTCATCTTCTAAAGACAGATGCATGTATGCAGTGGTGGCCACAAATTCAAATGGGGGTAAAAGACTATTCCAATATAAGACAAGACTTTACAGTATAAGACTATAAACTGTAAGTTTTCCTTATATGCCTCCTCACCTTTTCTCTCCCTTCTTTACTGGGAGCTGACTTCATCAATGGGATAGGAAAAAAAAAAAAAAAGAAAGCTGGATAGCTGAAGCCATGAAGAGCATCCAGGTCTTTTCACTTGATTCACACTCCTGTCTTCTTCTAACAGGTCCTTGCTTGGAGGAGTACAATGGTTGAGAGCTAATGTATGAAGGTGGCTGGGAACTCTGTCTATATGAAGGATCCCAAGTCTAAGGTGTGTGATTGGTACATTAGGTACCCGAGATTGCCCGTGGAGTGATTCCCAAGTTTGCATATAGTTTGGTCTTCGGAAAGTAGATGGGTGCTGAGTTGCACTCATTTTGCCCCTCTCTTTCTGGAATGTATTCAGTGTGATCTGTGCTTTATAGCCACTGCACTATCAACGTACAGGAGCACTTATAATGAATCAGTGAAGAAAAACATGAACTTAGGAATTGTTTAGGTCTGATAGGTCTGGTGACAGCTGGGGGCAGGAAAGGGTGAGGTTTGAATCTTATTTAGTGATGCGTTTGGCCTTGGACTCTGGTGTTAACATAAAGGTTTTCTGTAATGCCCTGTTCCTTTTTGGTTGTTGCTGGTTGGCTTTCTCTGTGTACCAGTTCTGTCAACTACTGAAATCAGAGTATCTCTTCCTATTCCATCTGGCAGTTGCCAAAGCTATGTGAAACAGAACTGGGTATACAGAAGAACACATTCTTTTGTTATGTCAAGTGAAGATGTAACACTAGAAACACAGGGATATTTATTGATGCAGGGGCCAATAGGCACTGAGTGCTGGAATTATGCTAAAAGAAGCAAGACAGATGGGGAGAGAGGAGAAATCCCCACCTGTCAAACATCACATCATTATAGGTGAGTCTAAAGAGTAATGAGTAGCATCTTCTTCCAGTCCATTATTGCCTCTGCACAAGGAATCCTTTGCTAACACATGCCTGTGGTTCATTTGATTGATTTTAGATGAAGATTATGAAAACATTATTTACACTGTGCCTCACTGCATTGAGTTCATATCACATTTTATGAGGTAAGGAGTACTGGGCCTCACTGCACCAGTCTCCCTTCTGTGCTCATGATCATAGGATATTTTGAGAGTTTAGATCAAGGCCACCAAGGAGAGTGAGCTATGGAACTACCAGTAATGTCTTACTCATTTTTCATTGCAGATGGCAAATCCCTGATTATTATGGATGACTGGAGTAATAATCTGCATGCAAGTCTCCTAAGAACTCATGATTTCACTTTGTGTTTCAATGGGATGCTATTGGTTCCTTATTGCACATGGAGACTTATTTGGGATGTTTCGAAAGGCTGTTCTATACTTAATAAATCTTAATATAGTTGTAATGATTGATAAATATTGCATTTAGATTTGAGAGTAAGATTTGTTTTCCAATTTGTATGAATGGTAAAGAAATAATCTTAACAGCTTGACTGCATATCTGGCCTTACAATTTTCTGTGATACGTTTATATGGTATGTTGAACAAAATGTGACTTCTAAGAGGAAAGCATGGTTTGATTTCCATGGAAGAGTAATAATGGCAGGAAGAAAGGGATACAGAAATGTCAGTCTTCAGAATATAATGAGAACAAGCTACATTTGTATTATTTTCTGTGCTTAAGTTTCATTACATCTATTTTCCCAATGAATGCATTGTATAGAATGCTATTTCCTCTTCTCATTACCATCTTTGTCATGGAGAGGATGTTATAGAATCTTAATGATTCAGTTATTTAAACCTTTTTGATAGTCTCTGTTTCAACTCTTCCCTAAAGTTACTGAATTTGAGAATAGGAGTTGCTTTCAAATTAAATTACTCACCAGGAAAAAGGGCAGGGTAGTTCAAATTGCTGTTATCACAATTACAGAGATTAGAGCAAAAATGAGAAAAATCATTAAAAAAAAAAGAAAGAAAAGGCACAGTCTGAATCTTCACTAGGTTTTCACTGCAAAGCAGAGGAAACAATAGTAATTATTGTATGTGATTCTGAGTCAAAGCTCACTGGAAGTGACAGGTCCCCACATACAAGTGCTAAAGAGATTGTTTAGGTTTCAGACACTATCAAATCAGGGGTAGTTCTGGCTTTGGGGTAAAAAATTCAGGTCCAAAACACTGATAATCAATAACACTGTGGTATTTAAAAGTTTTGCCATCTGAAAAAATGTATAAATATGACTGATTACGTGCATTTGAAATATTTCAGGAATGATAATTTATAAGACTTCTTTGTATTCAAATGATAGAAGAAGGACAGATCCCTCTACAGTAGGATTCAAGGTGCTTGTCAAGTGATGTGGATTGAAATGGACTGCAGAGTGCTTGGGATCCATAGTCCCTGGACAAAAAATTGTGTTAAAAGTGCTTAGTAAAACCCAAACGTTTGTATCAAGAGGCAAAGTATGTTGCCACACAGTGTGACTGAATGTATTCTGCCAGCCAAATAACTATCGCCATTTAAAAGCATGACTGAGTAGTCTGTGATGCTTCACAGACATCTGAGATACTCAACCAAGAGCATTAAATTTTAAAAAGCCAAGATTAAGGATTCAGCACTTTCCAGTATCATTAAGACCCTGAATGTATTCAACTGATCATTCTAAATGGTAAATACATTTCACAGGCATATGCCCTGTCCTTTCTATGAAGCTTGTTTTCCTACAGTGGGCAGGGAGATTGCATGAGAGACTCATGGAAAGTGCACAAGCAGCAAATACAGGTGAAGGTTTTACCTGCAAAGAATTTTTAGAGTGTGGAATTGCTTTATTTACTCACATTCTCCAATCTTCATCTAAATAAATAAAGTACTGTCATGGGATATGCTGCAGTACTGACAAGAAGTTTTTATACTCATTCACCCTGAGACGTTTCAACATATATAGTTTACCTGCCAAATGGATTTAAACTTGTATTGTCACTGCCTTGCATTCTGCACCTATTGCTTTTGTATTGCAGTTCCATGCCTCAATAGACACTTTGATTGTTTATATCTGCTACGTTGTTCACATGAGTCTCCCTATAATCTGCAGTATCAAACCCTTCATTTTAATACTAAAACATGTGCTCCTACAATGATTATAAACTTAGGGATATGACAACCAAAACGATATTTTGCTTTCTATTCTCTCTTTTTTTTTTTTGTGTATGTGGCATGGTAGGCAACAATGCACTTAGCTCAAGAGCTCAGCTTAATAAAGGAAGCCTTTCAGAAGTGTGTTGTGGGTACAGCTGCAGACATTTCCACAGGTTTGATTACCATGCTCTACACATCCATAATAATAAACCTTGGCTACCCTTGGCTTGGCTATTATTTTAAATTCATAAAATCTGAATCCCAACTTTCAGCACAAAGTATAACTGCAATTTACCAAGTCTTCTAAGCATGTAGTTGATCTTAAACACATTTCCTAAAAATGAATGTTAAATGTTTTGCAGGGCTGAGGTTTTAAGACTTGATCTTAAAGTCTTAAAACATTAGACTTTAAGACTGATTTTTATCTGAACTGAATAAACCTATCTACAATTCTTAATGTTTATTCCTCTTTTACTTCTACTATTTGAAATGATTTCAAACAGGTTCAGCTTAGTTTCCCAAAGAAAGGAGGCTAATGAAATAATTGCTGGATTAATATGTACGTGGATACATGTGTGTTTTACTGTTACTTTCTCTCATCTCCTTATAACCACTGAATTTTTCAGCCTATTCCAATCAGTGTGAGAAAAAAATAGTGATCTCAAAGATGAATTTCCAAACACTTTGTGAAATATATAGCTGGGTTAAGACAGAAAGAAATGTCTTTCTCTTGGCCCAAGGAAGACTGCAGTATGAGAACCTGATAACCAAAAATATACCATATAATTCAACTGTAGGACCCAAATTTATAGGAAATCATCTCTACTGTTACTTTTTTTTCTGCTGTTTGATTGGCTTCTAAGGATGACTGGTTTTGGAATGTGTTGGGGTGATGATAGCAGGTGTTTTCCATTTAGAAACTCCTAACAAAAACTAGACTATTTGAAGTTATTTCAGTCAAGTATGAAGAGATATATCAGTGGACTGTGCCTATGATATTACAATTTCTGGAAATAAATACTTTGCCAGGGATGATAAGTGATAAGGATGGGGAATAAAAAGAAGCGAATGTAAAACTGGGTTAGGAGAGTTACTTCACAGAATGAAGTTTCAGTTTTGTTTCTTGCTGTGTGAGTTTCTTAGTTCTTTTAATTTAAGAATTTATTATTACTTTATAAAGGTTAATTACACCTCTTAATGCATGCCCCAGTGCTGACTTCCAACCTGTCTTCTGGTCTTTCAATAAGAATACTAAAATACAGGGAGTCTAAGTAGATGACTGAAGGCTCTGCTGCAAGTGTCTGGTTGTATCTCCAGAGCCCAGTACTCTGAACAAGCCTACATAGTATCAGAAGCACCACAGTCATTCTAATAAAATAGTCTTTCTGAGATTAAATTACCCTCAGAAAGTGACTTGAAACTGTAGTACCTATTATAGGTATATCTTCAGTCAAGATAAGGATAACAATCTCTGGTTCCACAATTTATACTTTTGGTGACACCCTGGAATTTTGCCTCCTTTAAAAGAAGACAAAATATCACTTCTAATCTGACAGAATACACTGGTTTATTGTGCTAGCCCCTGGATATAGGCTTTTAAATTATGTACGGTATAAGAAGCTTAACACAACCCTTTTTTCTTTAAAGAAAGGTGACGTGTAAAGGAAGAATCCCATACACTGAAATGGAAACGTAAACCAGAAATCATATATTTCACATTTTAATTCTTTTTGGGGTGTGCTAGCACCACAATTTCCTAACACATATTTGAAAACTAATTAAACTGTATTGTTTATTTGTAGGCAGAATAAGAACCATTCACATTTCTTCTTGAGGTCAGTATGTTTTCTGATTTCCATACGCTTATGAACATCCAGTGAAAGGCAGAATTGCATTTTAATGTCAGGTAAACATAATCATGTCCAATAAAGCAAAATAATATACACCAGTCCTCTTTATGGGTTCCTTTAAAGTGGGAGCTTTACAAACTCCTAACAAGAAGAGTAGAAAACAAGAAGGATGTCAAAGAATCTCTTAGAAGAAAGATTTTCTTTACCAAATTCATGTAAGGAAGTGGCATTTATAACTGTTAATCCTTTATTTCCCCTCCCCCTAACTAAATTCAGTCATCTATTTAACTCACACTTCAGAATTTGCATTTGAGCTTCATGGCAATAATAATCAAGTGAGATAAATCAAATTAATATCCTTGCAGATACAATAGTTTAATAACTTTGCTATTTCCATTCCTTTTTCATCTGCATTATCACAATTTGATAGCTACAGTAAACCAATGCCTCAGTGAACTTCTCTTTGTGCCCAGCACAGAGAGATTAGGATTTCTAATTTTATTGCTTAAATTGTCATCTCTTGCGTTATATAGCACCTTTATTGCAAAAGGAAGCCAGATGCTTTGATATAAAGAGGAATGACATTTCTCAGAGTTTATATGTATGTACTTTTGGTGTGGAACAGAAATCTTTCTCGCAGACACCAGTAATATCATACAACCATTAAAACAGAATGCCCAGAGAACCTGGATTAGCATATAATAGTTTTGGTGGGATCTTGGGGCTTCCAGAAAATATAGGACATATACTTAAATGCAGATATGTGAATACTCATGTATATTCAGGGTTTTGATGTTGATGCTTATAGACTCTTGCTGAAAACTGCTCTGCTTTTATAGCCTGAGTATTTGGGCTTTAGGTGAATGGAATTCAGATGGGCTACAGAGGACAAATCTGGTTTTTAACCTAGGGCTACTGAGCAGGACCATGAAAGTCCAATTGCAACCATTGCCAACACACTGCAGTTTCCGTGCATTCTCTGTTCTGGAATTACTGGATTCAAGCGAGGACAACTGCAGCACTCTTCAAGATGATCTTCTTGAATTATATGCCATGAAGAGCTTTTCTGTAATAATTTTTTATATTTCTCGGTAGGAACCAAATACCGGTTACATACATATGTATATGCAGAAACACTCCCTTAAGGGACCTTAAAGATCACCTGGTTCCAACCTCCCTGCAGGATACAACTCACACTAGAGCAGGTTGCTCAAAGCCCCTTCTAGTCTGGCCTCAAACACTGCCAGGGATGTAGCAGCCACAGCTTCCTGGCAACCTGTGTTAGTATCTCACCACCCTCACAGTGAAGAACTTCTTCCTAATATCTAATCTAAATCTACCTTTTGTCAGTTTAAAGCCATTCCCCCTTGT